TAATAAAGGCAGATTTAATTTTTTTAAACTCTTTTTCTTGTGAGTTCTGAAAGGGTCAAAAATAAATGTATAGCATCTTCAGTAAGGGGGGATATAAGCAACTGTTAATCCAAGTTGGAAAACAAACCAGGTAAATATTTTTATTTTTGTCACTTTATTGGCTGAATAAATATTTTTGTCACTTTATTGGCTGCTTTTGGTATGTTCAGTTGATAGATGAAAAATAGTTTGGGTGGGTTTTTTGGTATTTGTTCTCTTTTTACAAGTAAGAGACAGCTGCTACTCTTGAAATGTAGGCAAATTTGATGACACTGTATATCAAACTGAATGAATGAATCAGGATGTGGTGGGAAGTTCTATTTTTGTTCTGCATAGAAAGCAAAGAAAAATGGCAGAAAACTTGCCATGGTCTAAACAGATGGGCAGGTGAATCAATCAAAGAACAGAACCAGACAAAACTCCTGGGATGCTGTGTTGCTGCTAGAATTATGTAGCTTTTAAAATAGAAAACAAGACTTAGGTACAGACTTCCTCTCTATATTTATGAGTCTCCAGAACTTTGGGATGTTGCCACCCATCTTCACTGGCCTGTCTTGCTGACCCTGATGCCCTTGCCTGTTCTGGTTTGTTTCTGTTGTGTTCACAGAGTGGGAGCTTTTGCCTGTGCATCCATAATTTCCTATTATGGCTGCCTGACCTCCTCTTTCCTCTTTGTTCTTCCTGCTTGTCCATATTAAAAAAAGCTCCCAAAGAAGCACAGTCAGAAGTGGTCAAGAGCTTTATTGTGGTACTCAGAACTTCTGTGTAATCATTTTGCATCTCTCTCCTCTTGATGCAGGTCAGATTTCTTCCTAATTGTATCTGGTCATTGAATCACTGTGTTATAAGTTTGTACAGTAAAGTATGAAACCTTCCGTGCTTTATATTTTTGTAAGCTGTAAATGAAGTCGTGAGAACAAAAAGATGTGATCAAGATTCTAATGGAATTGTGAAAGAAAGGAAGGAATCTGTTTAAAGTAATGAAATCATCATTCTCATTTTACTTTTCTTCCAAATACTGTCTTTCAAAAACAGCTCTAGGCTACAGCATATGCAGGGGAAAATTCAGATATATGTTCTTGTAGGCTTGTTTGACAGTTCCACAGTTCCTTTCTTTTCTTAAATAATGACTCTGCAAAATTGTTTAGATGATCAATTTATCAACTCTCTGCAAGAGAAGCTCATAAACGTCTTGCTTACTTTACTTCAGTTAGCTTCTTAACACTCATTGTATTGTCTTTTTTCTTATTTCTTCCTATTTTTTTTCTCTATTCAGTGAGACCTAAACCAGACTAAATCACACCTTAAAATCCTTCAATACACCAACATCAGAACTGAATGCTAAATTTTGTCCAGGCGTGGTTATTGAGATGTAGGCAGTCATATCTGAGTTTCTAGTTGTGTGGAAATCATCTGGGTTCACTCTCTACTCACCTGCAGGAAATCTTAGTTTTCTTAGAAAATCCAAACATAGTCCTGTGTCTTTGCTGTAAGTATTGTCTGAATTGTCCTTTTAAGCCCAGGTAGGACCAGCTGCTACCTGCTGTCACTTTTACTTTTGGAGTGTGACCTTTAAAGCATCATCTTCAGAAACTCAGTATAATATAACTTCCTGCCTTTATGTTGACTTCAGATTTTTTTCTCCATCTCTCCTTTGTTTTGTTTGTCAAGAAACTGAATGGCATTTGCTGTTTAGGTGCAGGGCAGCTATGTTTAATTTCATTATTATGCAAACATTTGGAGAATATTTAATTTTTCTTTTAGCAATCCATTAGAGAACCAGGAGAGTTCTGTTTTTCCATGATGAAACTGCTCAGTCATTCTGTAAAAGGGATAAAAATACGAACTGGTGATACAGCCTGCCTGCCTTAAAGCTCTTTAGGGCATCTGATTAGCAAATTTATGACCACCAAAATGTCTAGTTGTATTAAATGACTGAATTGCAGTTTTATCCACAATGTACTGACATTGTGGTGACTCTTCAAAGTTAGTTTTTTGTAATTCTATTGTCAGATGGAGATGGAAATTTCATGGGATGTGCCTTTTGAAACAAACAGTTGTTTCAGGGAGCCAGCCTGCTGCCAAAGCATGCCTGGTGTTCTGTTTACCTGACAAAGCACTGCTTGCAGCACTGCCCAAATTTTTAATGCACATGTACAAGCAGCTCCCTTTTTGCCCAGTTTCAGCTTGTTTGAGATTGATCTTTCACCTCAGACAGGATCATGTTTTTTTAATGTCACACCCTAGAAGGTCAGTGGTCTGAGGGACATCAGGACTGTGCTTTGAGCCTAAGACAGGTGGAAGAAGGAGAATAATGAAGTTTTGAAGATGAGAGCACTTCAGAGAGGGCTGTATGTCAGGCTGTATTCCTCCTCTGGGCAGGTAATGCCAGCCTGTGTACAGTGGGAGGGAGCTCTGGGAGGTTAACTGGGTGCTGTGGACCTCAGGGTGCTTCAGGCACCAGGCAGTGGATTAGTTCAGCATTGACTGTGCTGCTGCTTTGCTGTGCTGCAACAGAGGTGAAAAATTATTGTTACAGCATCTTATCTTCTGCATTTTGGCTTCCCTGTAGGGAGGGAGCAGACACCACAATTGTTAGAACTGCAGTTTGCATTGTGGACTATTTTAAAATGAAGGAGAAAGGAAAGGATCCTGCTTTGAATACAGTTCATGTGTGCTATATGAGTTTAATTATGCTGTTTGGCATAAAAATAGGTATGCCTGTGTTTTCTATCAACTTACATTTCTTGTTAGAAGGTAAGGTTCTAAACAGAAATGGAGTTTTTATTTTGACTTTCCTCAGAACTAACTGTGTCTGCTGGATTGTTTCCTAGAAGTGTACAACTTGTTTCAATAGCTGTTTTTGCAAAATTCATCATTTTGGTGATGGCTTTTCATCACTGTTTTGCCTATTGGTAGACAACAGCCTAAGAAAAAATTGAGAACATTTTTGAGGGAAAAAAAGTAATTAATTACCGAACAACACAATGTTAATTGAGTTTATTTTAAAGATAATATTATTTTTAAGCCCATAGAAATGAAAATGCTGCCTGTTTCTTTGTTTAAATGTTGTTAGCAAATGTGGCAGCTCTCTTTTCTATCCTCTTTAGATGGATAAATTCTCTGGGGTTAAGTAATATTTTTGATGCTTTCAGGAGGAGGTAATTATTGTCCTGCAAAATTATTAATGCCTTCAGCAGAGTGAGACCACTTTAAGTTGCATCCTTGCACTGCAAGAACTGAAGCCAATTTTGTAGTGTACATCAGCTACAGTGCTAGAGATGGCAAGTGAATAAAGTGTTAAAAGAAAACTTGTACATAAATACTTTGAAAGTACACTGCTGTACTTTAGGTAAATGGGAATGGGAATGTGTGATTGAAAATCTTCCCATTTCAGGCATTTTGTGAATGGCATTTCATCACCGCATCCCAGTTAAAAAAATAATAATTCAGAATGTTTAAATAAAGTGCCTAGTTATAATTATGATAATTTCAGAATGCATTTTAAATCAAGGAACTGTGCTTTCATGTACACATACTTAGATGTATTGTGTATTTGTTTTTAAATGAAAAGAAACCTGGTCTCCATCTTCCTGTTGACATCAAACAATCCTCTGATATGCAAATCCAGCTATGGGGAGAACAGATACACAGGGTTTGTTTGGATTCAGTCCAAGAGTGAAAAAAAATTATATTTAAAGACGTAATTTATATGCTTTGCCTCATTTAAATGAAAATGCATTTTGAAATAATGCCTATAACGAAAAACATTTGGTGGAATGTTAAGATCCTTTGTACGACTGATGCATTTTGCTATAGGTAGTTTAAAAGCCTCTCTCTCACGCTCCTGTGTGTCTGTAATGTGCAGATGCAGCTGTCAACTTCTCACTGGCATGTTTTAACATAGTATGAAATTTTTTTTTTTTGCAATTTAATAAATGTTTGTTACGTGAACTTTCTTAAAGCGTGCATGAGTGTGAAGTCTGTCTGTACCCACAATTAAAATACATCAAGTGCTTTGCTTTCCATCTAAAATTTTGCTAGTCTTAATGTAATTTGTGTATTTTCTCCTTGTGTGGAACTTCAAAACCTGACACGATACAATTTCTTTGGAAACACAGGCTAAACAAGCAACGATTTTTCCATCTTTTTCCCTTTAGCTGAAGAATTTATAATGATGAAACTTTTACATTTTAAGATTGGCTGAATTCCAGGTTTTCAGTAGGTGTCTTTGGAGGACTGCTACTCAGTGCCTGAATACCACATTTGAAGCTGATGTGTAGAGCAGAGTGTAATTGTTTTGTGTAAGCTTTAACAGGCCAGTGAACTGCTACCAGTGATCAGGAATGGGTTTTTATACAGGATAGAAAATATTTGAACAGGAGTTATGTCACTGTGAAATTTTCAGAAATCAGTTCCTTTAATTCCCTTTCACGTACTGCAGAAGTTTTTAAAACTAATGTGACCAATTCTTCTTACATGATCTTTGTGACTGTGTGATACTGCTGTTCTTTTTTCTTCTTTGTTTTAGAAAATAAGGGTATGGAAATCAATTTTGGTGTAAGGAAGTGTATTTAATTTGGGACGTTCTGTGGCACATAGCTTTATATCTGGCCTTTATTTGTTCTGTGGCTGCTTTATACTAAATTACTCTGACCACATTAATCCAACACTGAGGAGTGCTAAATACTGTATAAATCCTTTTTTGGGGTAGGAATTTTATTTCATTAATGTTATTTGTGGCTCTGTGTGTAGAATGACTTATTCACATGCAGTGATGCTACATATATTAATATTTAAAGGGAAAGTTTTCTGTGTCAAGAAATGTTATTAAACCTTTCTTATTAGCTTGTGAGCCTCTTGTATTTTTTTTTATTTTTTAATTAATGATTTTCTGTCTTTTTTCAGTAATTTTATGCAAGTTTTAATTTTTAATATTCACTAACCATGTTTTTTTTAAGCATTTTAAGAAACAGAAGAGGTTGATTCCTGAAAGAACAGTTTGGAAGTACTTTGTTCAGCTTTGCAGTGCCTTGGAACATATGCACTCTCGTCGTGTTATGCATAGAGGTAATACAAGATCAAAGATGATTTGTCCTTACTATACCTTTGACTATGTGAGAATTAAACTGGCTGAAATCAATTTTGACAGCTGAAACATTGCATGTTTCTGTAAGATTTTACAAGTAATAGAAAACTGAGAGAAGTATGTGGATGTGCATTTGTTGTGGTAGGCATTTGTTTGATAGCAAGTTTTTCAAAATAAGCAATAGTTCTGTGAGTAATGGATACCCTGCCATAGCTACTTCATTTTTCTGGCTCCTATCTTCTGCCCTGTATTTATTCTTCTGTATTTGCTTGTTGTCTTGCCCAAGTGCTGCCACCTGCCTTGCACAGATCTGTCAGTCCATTCTTTACAGCTCTTGCACCTGGTTAAGAGTATCTGCTCCTGCCCTGCTTGCTTATGATGTACAGGCCCTTCTCCTAGACCCTTCTCTATTGGATTATGTGCAGGTGTGAGCATTTCCTCCAGTTCTCTGCTCCTTTCCACTATTTCCAATCTCTGTGTCCCAACAGCCCTTGTAGTTGCCAGCTATCCCTGTCAGGTACTAAATTTCCTTGGCCCATTTTAAACCTTGGTGCTGCTGTCTTCTTGGATGTGGTCTTCATTTCACCTCATAACTCTTGAGTCAAAGGAAACAGATCATAGTATAGCTTCTTCTTAGATCTGCTATTTTTTCCCCCTTCTGAAATCCCTCTGGTTATGGCATTGTGAGTTGTGTGTGGGCTGTCACTTTTTAGGTTCAGGTGACATTGCCTGTCTTAGGTTGGTGGCTCCCTGTGCTAGAATGCAGCTCAATCAATGTCTGATAGGAACAGTCCCTCGATGTCTGCTGAGCTCTGTCATTTGCAGCTGGAAATTTTGCACCCATAGCAGATGAGCTTAGATACTCCTGCCCCTGCAAATGCCTTTCCCTTGTGATTCTACTTTTTTTTTCCCCCTTTGTGCATTTGTACAGGTGTCTGCAAGTGTGAATGATAAAACGAGGACAAAAATTACAGATTCTTTCCATAGGGTGCAAGTATCTTCCTTTAATATGTTTATAATTAAATTAGTTAATTTCTGTAGCTCATAAGGAAAGGATTTCAGTTCCTTAAACTGAAGTACTAAGTTCAGAGCTTCTGGCAAACCTATGGCAAATCTAGTGATTCCATGGTTACATGCCAAAAGCAATGGCAATTAAAGCTATTTTTAAATTGAGCTAAATCTGTGTTGGATTATTACACAAAGGGTTATCCAAACTCCTGAAAACTGGGTCAGATAGCAGGAGAACATAATTGCTTCTGTCTTCCTCTAAAGCTTGTAAGGTTTTGTAACTTTTTTTACTGGAAACCTGAAAATGCTGGTGTTTGAAGGGTTATTAACCATTCCTTTTACTGTGCCTGTATTTTATGCAAACTGTAATCCCCTCTTACCAAATGAACTGACTTCTCTAAGTTTAAGGCTAGGGTGTATTGCTCTTCAGCAGAGTAAGAGCTAAATTCCCTTGCCAAACAAATAACAGGTCAGTTTATTTAGGAGACTAACAAGGTAGGTATCTTGTTAGAAATCATAGAATAAGAGTCTCTGGTGTTGCCTCTAAGGGATTGGATTAAAACTTAAACTGGATATTACTTGTGAAAAATAACTGTCTGGGGTATACATCATTATTTTTCTTTGTTTCTACTTGATTAGCCCAATTCCACTGATGAGTTCAAATAACCATTCTCCTGAGTAAACTCGCTTCTTTTTTAATGCCTGCTCTTATAGAGAGTCAGTTATCTATTTCAAGTAAATGACGTTATGCCACTGTGGCTAATTTGATTAGCAAAACCGATGAAAAATGCTGTATAGTTCTTGAAAACATATTTAGGCTGTTACTTAGGAGATAACAAAAGAGACTCTCTAGTTTTAATGTAAGACTCTCTATGTAGCTTATATAAAATTGTAATGAACTCCCCTGTATATGCTTCTTGACTTTGGGGGTGTGGGTTTTTTTTGTTTGTTTGCTTGTTTGAAAAAAAAAAAACAACAACTTTCTGTGGCTCTAGGCTTTCTTTGCTTGAGTGATAGTTGTACTAATAAAATAGTGGATTTGAAATTCTACATTCTGGACCCATTCTTTCTGAGTAGCACTGTCAAATTTTACCAATATTACCTGTAAGTAAAATCCACTTTGGGTCTATTATTAATAGAAGAGTAGATTTTCTTGCAACCTCACTGTGACTTTTAAATTTTTAAATTTATTTTTCTTCCAGATATAAAGCCAGCAAATGTGTTCATTACAGCTACAGGAGTAGTAAAGCTGGGAGACCTTGGACTTGGTCGATTTTTCAGCTCCAAAACCACAGCTGCACATTCTTTAGGTAAGCTTTCTCTGAGGTACAGGTGTTGGACAGGTAGAGTATTTTACATGGTGGAAATACTGTGCCCACTCAGGAGGAAGAAGAAAAGGGTTAGGACCAGTTAAAGATGTTCTTAAGTAATAATAAAAATATTAAAGGTGTTCTTAATAAAAAAAATGGTCAGCACCGTGGACAAATACAGAAACACTGTAACACTGAGGCATTTCTTTCAGAATGCTTTGGGTATTTCCCCTCCTTTGTTTGCATAATGTAGTGTACATTTCTACCTCTGAACAAGTCTTTAAGACAATAGTGTTGCCTAGAAATGCTAGGGAAAAATAAGGTGATAATATGGATGAATTTTTAAAAAATTGACTTGAACTTTATTCAGTGTTGGGAGGAGTCTCATAATTCTGTGTGTGCCTGCATGAGTAGCATTAATGACCTCTTGGCTATGTGGGTTCGAAGGGCTCTCAGAGGAGTTTCCATTTTTTAAGGTGACATTTCTCAATGTAAGCTTAGGTAGTTGAGGGGAGATAAAACTAACAAAACCAATTCCCAGAAAGCTTTTTTCTATTCTTGTCTTTAAGTTTTCTGAAATGTTCAGTTTATTCTTTGCTAGCACACAAAACTAGCAGGACATTATCTCTATCCAAACAAAATTTTCATGTAATGTGCATCTTTTGAGTAGCATATGAATACTAGGATGATTAAGAGGCCTTTAGAGAAGAAAAATTAAATATTTGGCATATATTTTAAGTTTAAAAGTAGGTAACAGATGAATGACAGAATCTAAGAGGATGTCTGTAGAAGAGAAAAACCTTGTAAATAGAGTAACATCTGCTTTAAAGAGAAATGTTGGAAATACTGTTCATAATACTGTTAAGTTAGGTTTTTTAGATACAAAAACATTCTTTTCCCTCAGTGAATTGTCTATGTTTGGTGGTTGCTGCACTCAAGCCTGTTTTTTGATTGCATGTTTGTACCACATTTGAGATGTGAGTAATATATGTGTTAATGGCTAAAAATATAATATTTTGGATGGGAAACTTTTGACACTCCTTATTTCCCTGTCCTCCAAAAAGCCTTTGGTCACTCCTATGTGCCTCCCAGTTTTTCCCATGTTTGGTGCAGACTGGTGAAGTCAAACCCATGAGTCAGTGGTGAGATGTTAATAGGAGCCCCAGCCACAGAGTGCAGCCCTACATTGGCAGGAGGCTGAGGAGGGGTGCAGAGCCCAGGCTGGAAATGTTCTGGGCTTCCACACTGGGGGTCAGTCACATGTGACACTGAAGATCTGCTGCTCTCGCAGCGTGGCACCCAAAGTGCTGCTTTCCTGCTGCCCCTGGAAGCCAGGGGCCATCTCTGGCAGCACTGAGGGGAGGCTGGGTTGGCTTCTTGCAGGTGGGCTCTGCTCCTGCCTGCAGATGGAAGGAGGCTGTGAAGAGGGAGCTGGAAATCCTAATCTGAGGAGTAGGAGCTCAGGAATAAGGCACAGGTCAGCAGTGAGGGTGGGAGTGCAGACTTGCATTCTGAGGCACAAGCCAGGAAGATAAAGAGGAGCAGACTGCCTCAACCCTGGATTATTTTGGCTCCTCACAGGGGAATTGTTGTGAAGGCTGAGCTGGAAATTAAAAAAAGCTGAAGACTGTGCCAGATTTAAGAACAGTGTAATACCCCTGAGCCCTTTAAAGCTCATCTTTTACAGATCCAAGAATCATGCAGAGAGTGGGGAAAAAGGGGAGGATGGCATCTTTGTTTCTTCTGTTGGTGGCTGTGTCTTGGTAGAGGAGTTGTTATTTTTTTATTTTTTCCCTATCTCTTCTTTTCCTATTTCCCTCTTAATTATGGCCTAATGTCAGAATTCAGCCTAGAAAAAAGGTTTGTGTCAGCTGTTAACTTAGGCTACAGAGGAGACTGACTTTCTGATTTGTCGTCACTAGCAGATACCACTTCTTAAATTGATTTCTTCTGCAGTTTATGATGCTGGTTTTCTTGAAATTTCTTTCAAAGTTGTATCTTTTTATGATTTCATAAACCTTTGGTGCACGTAACCTAGTAAATAGCAAACATATGTGTAGCAATTTATACTTGTTTACAGGCTTTATAAAAATTTCAGTAGCAAACTAGATTCAGGCTTTCAGAGATAAAGAAATGTACTAAAATTTTAATTAGCTACAGCTTCTAACTGCTAATTATGAATAATACTGATTTAATTACAATCTTTACTGATGGTCCATTTGAAACAAATGAAAAACTGCACTGGACAGGGTTTTTTCATGTTCTTAGCTCTTTCTATACAGCTTTATCAATAATTTACTATTGTCATGCCTATATCTTTTTGGAAATGGAAAATATTTCTTACAAAAGGGCAGAGGAAATGGAGGCATTGTTGATTTGATACAAACTTGACAAAATGTCTTGTTTTCAGAAGACTTTATATTAGAAAGGGGAATATGGTCCAACAAAGACTTCCTACTCCTTTCCCTACAACTCTGTTAGGGTTTTCTTGCTGCTGTTGTTTAATGGCTCAATGCCAGGCCTTATGCTCTTTGGTGAAATGGCAGTTCTAAGGCCAGCTCTTGAATATGTGTTTTTTTCTTTGTTAGCCATTCAGTGGATGTAAAGAGAAGTCTTTTCATATTTTGGTTACAAAAAGAATCACTTGATCTCTCTGCTGTGGCTGTGCTGTAAGGCAGGCACTGTCCACCAGCATGGGCATCCCTTCTTGCAGGGCAAAGGAGCAGATCTGCAATCTTCTGAAAAGGCTCAAATGCAGAGAATCATCTGTGTGGAATTCTGGTCTTCTGTGTTTTGACATCTTCTGTCATTTCTGTGATACTGCTGTCCCCAGCACAGACTATGTTATGTGAGGGGTTTGACTAGAAACTCACACAGGTTGTGGAGGATAAAATACCTTGTGAAAATGTGTGCAGATACTCTCCTCTCCCATATGTGTCTCTAATGCAGTAGAGGCTGTGCTGAGGTGGTGGTTTGCAGCACCATTCTGTGAATAGAATAAACTCCACTTAAATACCCAGCCATACTCAGAACCTGCACCCTCAGTGCACAGTAATGCTGGCAGGGAAATCTGCAGCTGAGTCATTGCAGTCATCAAGGAAGCTGTGTTAAAATAGCTCTTGAATTTTATGTACAGAAACATGAGCTCTCTTACAGTAGTTTGAAAGCTGAAAAGAAATGATTGTCTTGTTATAAAATAACTCAAGATATTTATAGATTGACTTATGTAGAAGGACTGTTTGCACATTGTGGGCTAGGTTGCAGAGTTACTTTGGATAAGTGCAGTATTTTGACTTGGACATCTCCTATAGCTATATTAAATAAGTACAAAACCTTGAACATAATAGAATCGGTAGGGTTGAAAAGGACCTCCAAGCTGCTGGTTTGTGATTTAGGTTTGTCTGTGTTCAGCATCCACATTCATCTTGTTAGGCATGTTGTATTGTACTCTATATTAAAAATTTGCTGTGGTCTTATGGACACTGAGTCATCCATAAACCATGTGTTTTGGTTACTGAAATTTGGTCTCTTTAGCCCCCTTCCTGAATTCTGATAGTTATGTATGCCAATGCATGAAATGTCAGTAATGATTATGTGGCCATTTTTAAAACTATGGTCTGTTAAACCTGTCCTGAATGAACCACTGCATTGTTTTGTATGAGTAGATTTAACATTTACCAGGCAGATTTTTCTCCCAGCCTAAAAATGCTTAATAGCTTTTAGAGCTAGTAACTATTTCAGAACTTAACTGTATTTCATTCCACTCCTTGATGCACTTGTTTAACTTCACTCAGGTGAATTGTGAGTTATATGTTTATCCAGGTAGTAAGATGGACTGTTGATATCATAATTCCTTTTTCTGTAATAGATTCTTTGCCTCTGATCCTTCAAATCAGCTCCCTGCTCTGTATTAACCCCAATTCCATTATATCTACTCCCTCTGCCAGTAACATGAAGCTTGCATAAAGAATCAACACTTTTTGGATCTACAGCATCTTTAGAGGGAAGGAGCTCCAGAGCAGCAGCAGATTCTAAGGAGACACTGTATGTGACTCAGACCACTTTCAAGGAGTTTACTCTTCAGACTTGCAGGTTATCACAGGTCTGCAAATGCAGCAAGCAAAACACTGAAGTTACTTATTTTGTTCTTAAAAATGTAGGCACTTCAATGATTTAGCTCATTTTCTTGTATTATCCCACTTCTATGTCTTCAGATGAGTAAAGGAAGTGAGGAAGTTGCATATCTCTATTCTACTGGGATGCTGTATTTCACTTAACAGTAAAAAAAGATCCAGGAAGCAAATAAAACATAGAATCACACTGGTAGTTACTTACCAGCAGCACAGCTATGTCCTGAGAGTGCTCACTGTGTTAAAAGGATCATTGCAATGCTTTCAGTAGTTCCTGAATGTCAGAATAATGAATCTTTAGTGTCATGTTCTGTTAAAATCAGTTTACAAGTAGTAATGATGTCTGAATCTTCAGGTTGTTTGTGTGATTCCATGAGTAACAGAACTAATTTCAATTCCTCTCACTAGCTGGCCATGGAGGGCTGCAGGTTGCATTGCAGTGGAGGTGTTACACTAGGCTAAACGCTGTAAAATGGGAACATTTGTTCTTGCTTTTCACTATCATCAATCTTTCACGGTCATATCAGACCCCTAATGTATCAGCAGGCTTCCCAGAGCTACTGGTTAAAATTACCTTTGCTTTTGGTAGACTATGAACCTTCAAACCTCAGTGTTTTCAGCTGCCCCCTGTGGATTCTGTGAAGCCTCTTTCTGGCACATTACTCACTGCCAGCCACTTGTGTGATACCTCAGAGCAGCAGAGGCACTGCTGCTGCAGCCACTGAACAAACACATCACTATTCAACTTATTTCTGTTAGATGCATTCTGCCAACAAAGCATCAGAATGTACTAAACCAGTGCTTTAATTAATGGATACAAAATGCAGCTGAAATTTTTTAGAGGCATCCAAGCTCACTAGTTGTTGGGGTGTTAAAAAAAATTGAAGAGGGAAATAAAACAGTAAGATGATAAAAATAGGAAACCTGTGTCATTCCAAATGCTTAGTTGCAGTTCTGATCTTAAGATATCTGTCATTAAGTGCCCATTAAAATACTGATGGTGATACATTAGAAAACCAGATATATCCAGAGTTGCTTCTGGATATTTTGGTAGTTATTTTGGCATTGTGGTCTACCCATCTGCTTACCTATATCGTTTCACAGGGAGAAGACCATTCACAGTTGTAGGTGGATGCAAACATCCTGTGAGAATAAATGTCTCCCACAGTACTCTCTGGAGTTGCCTTTCCCCAGCCTTTTTCCTTTTAAGCTGTTACCATTGGCAGCCTCAGTTCAGAGGTGCACTGAGTGCTCAGCCCAGTGCTGAGAGACAGGGGCTCTGGCATTCTCAGCTTTTTCCAGAACTGGAAATCTCCCCCAGCATGTTTAGGGGGCCAGATCCTTTGGAGGATACCACATGGGGACCTCTATCTTTGCCTGTCTGTTACAGGAGTAGTTTATATGGGTTTTCAATGTTGTTTGCCAAGGAGCAGATCAGGTGAAGTGATGAGTTACCAGCAGCAGTGGCCTGACCTGAGATAGGTGGTTCTGGGTTTCCCTATCTAAGCTGGGCCCTTCAAGTAGGAAGGTAATTCTCTCTCCTCCTTATTTCCACTGTCCAAACAAACCCCTTAACTTTTGGAGATTATGAGAGTAAAATTATCTGTCTGATTACTTAAAGCTATTTAACCTGATTATTCAGATGTAGAAGTACTTATATGTTCACTGTATCTCTGTCTTCAGTATTCATACAGAGATCAATTCTGAATTAGCCTCATCTATTCAGAAGACCAGAAGTGAAACCAGATCCTTGTGTTACAATAATATGTGAGGTTCATACCACAAAGAACAAAAATGAAAAATTGCTGATTTTAATCACTGATGGTGTTGCAAGATGTTTGGTTTCAAAATCAAATCAACTTGAATTGACAGAAATCAGCCAGTTTTTATCATAAGGACTCAGTGCTTAAGAAAATATTCAAACAAAATCAAAACAAAAATCTATATAGATCTGTGCCTTTTTTTGCCATTAAGCAGTCATTTTGGGGGATACAGGGAGAAAGTCCAGAAACAATGCACTAAAATTGCCATTACCATTATTTTCCATAACTACTCATTGCTCTGTCATACATGAAACCATCACTCAGCTACTTCCTTGTTATAACATTTTTTAAAGAGCTGAAACGTCTCCCAGTATTTCTCTGTTCCAAGTAACTTGTGACACAGATGGGTAGGGTTTGATTAAAATCAAAGGGAGAGATGTTCCAGAGTATCTAACATAAATTTACTCTGGGACAGACCCAATAAATGCTGCTTTTCAAGAGCAGACATTTCCAGAGCCCACAGCTCTGAGGCAGGATTAAGCTGGGACAGGCACAGGTTTGGGAGCTGCAAAGCCCTGGAATTTGGTGCTCCTGCTGATGGCTGAGTTGCCCTTAGGAACCTCAGCTTCTGTTGGGCATGCTGGTTTTCCTGCCCTCATCTCTGAAGGGCCTGAATCTCAGGCTCAGCTTTAATTTCAGCTATTTAAAGTGCCTGTGTTTTTTAGTTCCAAAACCAGCTTTTTCAGATTTATGTGTTCTCAAAGGAAGAACAGAATTTTTGAAACAAAAAATTCAGCCCGTGGCAGAGAATTTCTAGTGTTGTTTCTAGCCACAGTGCTAACAGTTTGGAAAAGTAGCAGGGATGTGTGTGTGTTTGTGTGTAGTACCTGCCCTTGGTTCTCTTCAGGAGAAACAAATTACTTATAAGGTTCCTTAAAAGCAAAATTTGGAAGTGTTCTACAACTGCATAGCTCTGGTAATGAGCGGTGAAAATAAAGCTGCATTGGATGAAATAGATACTAATTTGTGTATTTTTGTCAAGCTGAAGTGTCCTAAGTATGAGTTGAAGTTTTAAATGTAGCAAAATGAGAAAGATGAAAAATATTCTTCTACTGGAAAACGGTAATTTAACTACTGCACAACAACAGAAATTTTCATTCAAAAATACTTGTGGTTTTTTGCAGTTGGTACACCTTATTATATGTCTCCAGAGAGAATACATGAAAATGGTTACAACTTCAAGTCTGACATCTGGTCTCTAGGCTGTCTGCTGTATGAGGTAATACTGATATATACAGTGAACTTAATAACACTCTTGTACTTCCCCCTTCCCCTGCCCTCCTCCCCTTACAGAACTTAAGCATGTGAAATACTTTTATTTGTGTTTTACTTGAACTTGCCTTTAAATCTGCTTGCTACAAAGATTTTACAGCAATTTCTTGAAGACTGGCTGTGACTGAAGGATTAGTAAATGAATAATAGCAAGCACATGAAAAATTGTTCTAGGTGTTTTCATGGCCCATGATGGTTATATGATTATTTAATAAATGCATTGAGAAGTAGTAGGACTGATTTGAATATGTAAGTAATACTTACAAAAACTGCAATATAGATAATTCAATACAAATTTCTTATTTTTATAAAGACTTTAAACTTAAGTAAAATGATGAAAAAAGTTTATTTATTTATTGTACTTACTGCTATTAACTTGGATGAATTCTCAGTTTAACAACTTCTGCTGCAAACACAAGTAATTTTTCTGTTATTCTCCTGTGATGGCTAAACTGCAATTGTTTAGTTTCTCTGTTGGTACAGTCGAGATTGGTAGGTGACACACAATTTTAAATAATACTATATTTTGAGAAAATAAAGGTACAGGGCTCATTGAAATGAAGGCAAATGAAGGTGTGAAGAACAGGTAGGCTTCTAAAACAAATACATATTCCAAGTTCTTTACATCTAATTTCTTGATTAGAAGAAGTAACACTTGTGTTGAATGATGCTGGGGAAAAAATGGTTCCAGCAGTGGCAGTGAAGTCTCCCCAGTCATGTTCCAGGTAGAAACAAATCTACTCAAGTCATTTTTGTTTACCTACAAGCCACCTGCTTCAGTGGGTCAGCAGAACTCATTCAGCACACACTCAGCACTATCAGCACCTCCTTGTTTATTTTAGGATTGTGTAGAAGACACTGGCAGCCTGTTGAGGTTGGATGTTGCTGCCAGGTGAATCATCTCCAGTAATATTTGTTTACTTCTGAGCACTGACATGTTGCCTTGAATATTAAAAGGAAAAATAGCTATACTGCAAGTCTGCAGTTTACAGACGTGTGTATAGCTGTTGCTTTAAATATTGGGGATCATTCAAGGAAGGAAGTCCAGCTGCTAGCAAGTATTTGGAAGTTTGAATCCTGAGCTAAAACTTAATCCTGGATTCCTCAATACTGACCATGGCAGCTGCCTTGAATCTCAGTGCTCTGCTTTGCACTCTTGTGCAAGCCCTAAGGTAGCATAAAGGTAGATGAGCATTATTCAGTATTACTATTTCTTTGCCTCTGGTTGGTTTACTTGAGGATTTTTTAAAATCTGGAAATAAATAAAACCTTTGAATTACTGTTATATAAAACCCCACAGTTTAAGGTTAATTTTTCTTTTATGTTATATGAAATTAAATTGCTGGATATAAATCAATATTACTTTTCTGAAGAATTTTTTAAGCTTGCTGCCTTAATGCTGGTAGACTATATTAAACACCAATGTGACTATTACATTTTTCTTTGTTGTGGTGGATAATCCCAAAATACCTAAATAAACTCAGTCCCATTGATTAACTCAGCATCTTGAAATACCATTCTCCTTTGATTTTAGGTGTTTTACCAGGATGCTATTTAAGCCAATATGGGATAGTGTTTGTTTTCCTTATTGCAAGAATAAAATAATTATTAGGACCCTTGTTGTTGATATATAGCTGCAGTATTGGGCATTGTCTTCAACTATAGCTTTTAATTTCTTTTAGAAGTGCATTTAGTTGATTCTGCAACATACCAGATATTTGTGGTGGATTTTCTTGTTTGGTTTTGGAAGTTTATCTTGAGCATTTATCTCTAATTTTGAAATTTCAGTTACAGCAAATTCAAAATATATGCTCAGCATTTTTCTCACTTAGTATTTTTTCTTAATTATTGGAAGGTGGTTACTTAAGGTTCTTCAAGACTTGTGTGGACTAATGAATGTTTTTTTTTAATCTGTGCACTTTTGTGCTGGGTGTCTTTCTATGATTTGTCTATTGCCTGCATCTTAGCATGTTTTATTATGTTGATTTCATGGTGATGTGTATTCATATGTACTCTGGATTGTCTCCAGCTTAATTGGAAAAAAGCTGTGGCAAGTTTATCGCATCTCAGTAAATGCCTAATTGTCGCTAAACTCTTCAGTTACATTTTAATTTAGGTTTAAACTAACTTGTTTTTAAGAATTATTATTTCTCATGTGTATAGCAATCTATTATTCAATGCTAACTGTGTGGCCAGTAAGATTTTGCAGAAGTATGTTTTAAAGTCTGAATTTTTTAGAGCCCCAGGTATTTTTGAAACCTCAAAAACACTACCAGTGGAGTTTTAATTGATATGCAACAAAGTAGACTTTACTAATTAAAATCAAGATGCTGTGCTTTTGCTACATGGACCTTTACATGGAAAAGTAGGTCTTACACATTTCCTTTTATTGTTCATCGTAGCAATTGCATCCTTACAGGGTTGTAGGTTGGTGGCTTACAGTTCAAAAAAAAAAAAAAAAAAAAAAAGAAAGGGGAAAAAAAAAGAGAGCGAGCGAGCTGCCACCAGCCCTGAAGACAGACAGTGGGCTTTCGTCCCTCAGACACCCCCAGAATACTAATCAGCAAAGTCAGACCCTGGAGGTCAGGGAGCAAGTCAATCATTCTAGCGATCGTCTCAGTGTGGAGGATCAAATTAGCCTGAAAAATTCAGCTGCTGGGAGGAGAGGGCGAGCAGCTGTCAGGGGCAGCAGCGAGATGCACTAATGAACCAGATGAATAGTGCAAAAGCTTGAAAATAAAAACAGGACAGTTGACATTTTTCATCTGTCAAAGCAGGAGATGCATGAAAATATAGTATTCCTGTTTTAACTCCTTAGGGGACATTCAGAATTTTTTTAACACTCGGCAGCATTCAAACAAAAGTACTTTTTAATGAACACCTAGAGTATGAAAATGACTATCTGTGCATTTATTTAGAGTTTCTGCATGCGTACAGACCCTGCAGTTGATTTTTCTTTTTTTCTTTTTTTTTCCTTCTTTTCTTTTTTGGTCTTCAGCTTGCATTTTTAACATTCTTTTTAAGGTAAGAGACAACGTCATGTAAATACAAAAATAAACATTATCTTAGTAATACGGATTGGGAGGAGTGTAGGATAGAGCTGCAGCATAATACTTGTTTCGGGAGCTTTAAAATTTTTTTCTTAGTTGAAGGTAATATGAAAAAGTCCCGAAGTATTTGAGAGCAAATTAGAGATAAAATAAATGGAAGGGAATTTTGGTAATTCTTTTCATACATTTCCCCCAGTGATATTGATGCTTAGACATGAAAGAGTTAAACTTCTATCTGGAAGACCACAAGACAGATGAGAGCCATTTTCAGCTTGTCCTGTCCCTGCTGAAGCTCACTGAGTAGCACAGCATGGACTAGCGTGTTTCACACACACTCTGCCTGTCTGGGGAATGTACACATTGTCCTTCCAAAATCAAACTTATTAGCACATGTAGAAAAGGGTGACTGACTTTGGGGCAGCTCTGCACTCAGAGCAGCATTCGTGCTGCTGCAGATAAAAGGTTTCTTAGGCTTTGAATAGAATGGAGAGTTTTTAAATGAATTTTTAAATTTCTAATCCAGCTAGCCATAGCATTTGTTTCCATCTCAAATGTCAAGCTGTAACATTGTCAGGAAATAAAGGGTAGGTTTATTAATGCTGGTTTTAAGCTGATCAATTACATAAGTGCTCTGCAACAGATTTTCTCAGTTTTCTATTGTAATTGTAGATTATTGCCATAGATGCTGGTTCTGCGCTTCTGATGGAAGTTTAGGGATTTTTTTTTTTAAGTATTTTTGAATAACCTCCTGAATTACAAAGATTTTGGGTCTGAGATTTTGGAAGTATCGATGATAGCTTTTTCTTGCTTTCAAAACCCTCAATTACATTGAAGTCAAGTGTCATGGCTGTGGAAGGTTACAAAATCTGCTATGATTATCTAGTGTTACCTACACAATACATTGCTTTAGATTAGATAATGTTTTCCTGTAAGTTACGTGTTTTCTTACAAAAGGTCTTCCGAGGAAAAGCACAGGTTTGGATTTTTTTGGTGTCCCTTGTGGTGCAAGGACCCTCCACTCTCAGCAATATTGTAAACTACTGAATTTCCCCTCATAGTCTATTAATAAAACCCTAACAGTGTGCAATTCAGATATTGCACTGTAAGGATTGTGACAGCTATGGTTGTATGACATAGAATAAGTACATACAGTGGTTATAGGAACAGTTTTGGAACTTCTGTTATCATCACTGCAGGGCTCCCTCTAAGCAGAGCATTGAGAGTCATTAAGAATCACTTTTGATTTGTTACTGTTACAGATTTTATGACAAAACAGCTTTACTTAAAAACGCAAAAGAAAACTGTACATTTTCTTTAAACAGATGGCTGCACTGCAGAGTCCCTTTTATGGTGATAAAATGAACTTGTACTCTCTGTGCAAGAAGATAGAACAGTGTGACTACCCACCTCTCCCTTCAGATCACTATTCAGAGGAAGTAAGTAATTTTCCTTTTCATGGGCTGGATCCCCAGTTTATGTAAGCTGGCACGCTTCCAGGGAAGTAAATGAACTTGTGTGATTTTATGTTATTTGCAGATTATGCCTATAAGTGTTTGCTTGTTGAACTCACTCAAATGTTGCTGTCAAAACAAGTCTCTCATGATTTATATTTGAGGGTATTAATGATGGAGACGTCACACTGTTAGATTCCTAATTTCATTGGGCTTCCTTGCAAGTATGACAAAATGCTTTCCCTTTCCCAGAATGCACAATGATATGTTCCACATGCCAGGATGGGGTAGAGCCTTACATCTGTAGGGTGTTTTTCTAAAAACACAACTATACACCTTTATGTTGCACAGTAAATTAGTGCACTGGCCCCGTTCCTCTAGGGGCCTGCATTAAAATAGATATAATGTAACTCAGTAGTAAAAACAAATTGTTCAGGTCCCATTTGTCTGCATTATAAAACTCGGATGTGCTATTTGGTGCAATTGAACAGCAGTTCTTTTGCAAGGAGTGGTTCTTGACAAGACTAAGAGTAAATTTCAGAGAAATACAAGCAGACATAATATAATTGAATTTGAACAATATACTCCTGCAAATCTCAGCAGTGTTTGTTTTAAGCTGAGAGCTAACAGTTCTTACTGTCATTAGTGTATTTAAGGGGAAGTACTTGCTTTTATAAGCTCTAAAATGAAAAGAAACTAAACAAAATAAATATTTTTCTTAGTGTAACAGAATGAAAAAATATAAATGCTTGCTTGTTAATGTTCTGAGATGCCAGTTTTGAAATACTTTCCCACTTTGAAAAGAACAGGGCAAACTGATAGAAGCTGTAAACCAAAGAACAGTTATTAGTAACCAATTCTAACTGAATTCAGAGTACATGAATTAAAGATTACTTTGAAAACCCAAATAAACACAAGCACTGAAATACTTTTAATAAACATAAGGCATTATACAATTTATAGAGTAGGGGTTGTAATTCCGAACCTTAAATTTTCTTGCATTCACAGACAGTGATTGGAATATTAATAAAAGATTACTGCTCAGTGTTTTGTTTTGTATTTATAGTGACAATTTTCCCCTTTTATGAAACCAACTGGACTTAAAAAGATAATTTGATGATGTTACAAAGGATGAAATAATGATCTATTGTGTAATTTATACACTCTAGCTCTTTGTGGGTTTGCCGATTAGTCATTTTACCTTGGCCATTTTTAATTATTATTTATTGTAGACTCTAAATATGGCAGTTCATCTAACCAACTTCAGAACTGGAGGCCTGGAAATACAGTAGGGTGTGAACAATAATGCAAAATGATAGCGAGAATGTCAGGGGCCGTTCTTTGTTGTGTCATTCATGCTGTCTTCCTTTTTCCATGAAGCACATGAATATTTCACATATCTGCATCCTCATCCTCTATTCTTCTTGACTAATTTTCAGACTGTCTGAATTTGCATTTCACATGGTAGCTGATTAGGAGATGCCGAATGCAGCAGCGAAGCCTCAGCAGGCGGTTTCCATGGTGACCTTCAGCAGGATTTTAATGATGATACCACTAGTGGTTCGTTGAAGTTGGCCTGCCTGCAAGGCTACTTTGCTGCAGCTAAGTGTGAACTGGGAGATGTGGATTCCTAGCCAAGGGGCAAATATCAAAGTCTGGCCCAGATAGAAGGTCTTAGAGTTGGGGTGGGGAGAGAGGCTCCAGCTTTTCCCTACATCTGCATAGGTTTTTTGTTTTGCAAACACATGCAAAGCACTACATGTTACTTTTTATTTATTTCAAAGCAGACATGTACTTCTGCACCTTGGATAAGGCAGTTATCTGCAAAATACATGTAAGTTACTCTTAATGAGAGAATCAGAGCTATTATAGGTATTAAGTTAGGTAAGAAAACAGTTTCTTGAAAGAAGCCATCAGTTACGGAAACTGCAATGGGAATATTTTTTATGTTCTGCTAAGACGACTTGTGTCTTCACTAAGGTACCTGGAAAACATACATTTATTACCTATTGCACTATTAAACCATTTTTAGCTTGTGCTGGCATGAACTGTAAAAAAGAGAAACAAACAAGTGTGATCTGTCATATTAGAATACTGTGCTAAATGTTTCACCTGTACTGGAAATATAGATGTCAAACCTTTAACTAGATGGGAAGGATACTCAGTGAGCAGTAAAGCTTAAGGATTACTGAATATTAAAACCCACTTCATTTTTTATGAAAAAGAATTTTCTGAAATTAAAACTTCATTGAGTGGATCTCTGCATCCTCTAATATAGAAGTGTAAATACTTTCATTATGAAATATAAGACAAGTGCTTTTTCAGTAAACTTTTTGTAAGTAGATTTTAGTGAATTTTAAGGTGTGACATTTTTTCTAAGTTTTGAAACCCCTGTAAGAGTAATGTGTTAGTAATTGTGTCACATCTGTGTCATCAGAGGAGAGTGTGACAAACATGCACCTTTAGGTGGACAGATGGTTAATGTTTTTAAAACCTTTGTTAGAAATCCTGTTCGTCTGAGATGCATTTTCACAAACTATTGCTTCAGTGGTAAATATAAACCAAGATTTTCAGATGCTTAATAACTTTGGATATCTCAATTTTTTAATATCCCTCAAAAACATCTGGTATTCAAAGTCAGTATTCAGCATTTACTGAAAGCTGTGCTGCTTTTGGGAATTCAAAGCTGGGGCTCCCTTGCCACCTCCAATCAATACTCTTAAAATCTTGTCAGCTAATATTAGTATCACATTGCTTTCATGATGAAGTTTTAAAATCTTCCCTTTGATTGAGGTGCATTTCTTCTAAAGTCCATTGCCAACCTCCTACCCAGATGTGAAAGCAGAAGGAGCCAGCAGGTCCACCATGGTAGTGTTAGCTGCCAGCAGGTCTTGAGAAAAGCACTCAGAAAAACACTTCGAGAAGGTTTTATTCAGAGTAAGAATGGTGTTGCGTGTGGTTTTTTAATCCAGACTTCCCTCTATGAAAATTTCTCTATTTCACCTGGCTAACAATGCAAAGTACTTGCCTGTCATATTTCTGTCTTTCCCCACTCCTCCTGACTTGAGTGATAATTATTTATTTCATGGCTGAAAAACCTGCTAAAGTTAAAGAAAGTGTGTCCCACTGCTCCAGTGTCAGGCTAAGCTCCAGGCTAAAGCCAGTCACTGTGCTAAGTGCACAGAGGAGGTTAAGAACAATAAGCAGACAAAGAAGTTTGCAGCTTGGGGAGGCAACAGGAGGTCCCTCTGGCTCAGTCTGCTCTGCCTCTTGGCCAGTCTGTGCCAGGTAGTAAAAAATCACTTCTATCTCTAATGATAGTCTGATTTTAGACTGCCAGTGCTTCTTCCCATGACATTGGTGAGCTTTTCTGATACATTGGGAATTTTATTACTACTGGAGGGGCTGACAGATGGATTTCAGGTTTATTGAAATGGATATTCCTGTAGGAGTAAAGGATCAGTGCTATAACCAGTGCTATCCAGTGTCCCAGTTTCAGTCCTGAAAGCTGTGTTCCCATGTAATTTTTCATCCTGCATAGCAGAAGTAATTCACCTTCTTCCAAGGGTTTGCTGTTCACTTACAAGGCTCAAAAGAGCTCAAGGAATTTGAAATTACTCAGGAATCTGCACTATTGTTGTGCAGTGTCCCAGGCATGGTCAGCTCAGCATTTCTGCCTTACCAGTGAGATTCTGGACCTGCCAGGGGAAGAGGGGCATAGAGATACTGCAGTAATTGCAGTGACTGCCATTTAAAGAGGTTGGACAAGGCTTCTCAAGTGCTCAACAGGTAAATTTCTTGAAGATCTATTTCTGCTGCTCTGCAAACAGTAAAGTATTGATAAACAGCTAGAAAAAAAAACAAGAGAAAAACCACTCTGCTTCCCCTCTGATGCTGGCTTTGTGGGTTTTAACCCTTCAAGGTCCTTTATGAAGACTGTTCACTGTATGCAGTTCTGTTGAACAAATGGAAGTCTTCACAGAGAAAGAGAACGTATACATTCAAGATTAGATGTATTTTGCAGATAAATTATACCTGTATTCTCTTCACAAAATGTTTGCTTATTTGATTCTAATTTCAGGCTTGATGGTGTTGGATGTTCTTCAGTCTTTCCTGTTTTCTGTGCAGCCTGTCTGAGGTGTTGCATGGCAAGCTGCTCATCTCTGCTTACACTGTGCCTCCTGCTTACCCTGTGTCCCACCTGCTTCTTCTGCAGGAGATTGTTTGGCTTGCATGTTGGTATTACATGCTGGCAATTATTATTTCTTACAGTAGCTAATGATTTCCAGCATTCTGTTCTTCAAATGTTTGGGAGTTATTGCAGGCTAATAGTTTTTATTGCCACTGGCATTGTATTTTATTTATTGACTGCCAGAAGCAATATGATGGCTTTTATAACTCCATTAGTCAGAATATGCTTAATGTATTTAAAATGCAAATAGCAAGTATGTTACAGATTATTTTGATTTTATACATTTCTTTTCAATCCAGTAATCTGACCGCTATCTTCAGAACTAGCTCATTTTTAAATATTAAGCTCTTTTTACTAAAGAATGGTATGTCTAATGACATAGATTTTATACTGTTGAATACAAAAAAACTGTACATTATGTACAGTTTATCTGCAAGGGCTAATGGACAAAGCTTTATAGAGTGGTAGGCAGTGCTTCTTCCTTAACTTCAGGAATTCCTATTCCTGTGCATTTAAATTAATCTTCAGTAAAGCGAAAGGAGTATAATTATAATTTAAAATCCTTCTTGTTCTTTTTCGAAAAAGCAGGAAGGAAACTCTCCAATGGCAGGTTTAAAGAGGCAGCCTATGTTAGTTTTGAATAATGAGGGTGATGAGGTCACTTAGTGTTAGTTGCAATAATTACAGATTTTTTGCAATAATCCTACCTAGTAGTACTGGCTGGGATACCAAACTAAATTTGATATATTGTCATAGAAGACTGGATCACAATATGTTTGTTGGAGTCTCCCCCTCCCTCCCCAATGTTGTAAGGAGGTCCAGGAGGATTTGGCAAAGCTACTTAAAGGCATAAAGGAAAATCTTCAGAGTTGGTTAAAATGTTATTGCAAAGCACTGTGAACATTTTAGTAAGTCACTATGAAAGAGATTTGTTCCACATTGCAAAATGCTTAGGAAATGCACACAATTTGAAATAGATGCCCTATCACAAGGTTATCCATACAATATATTAAGTTCTAATGTCATAAATTTTTAGGCATATCATTGGAGGGAGAAAAGCCTGCAAATGTCTTGACAGTTTGTGAAGGGAATGCAAAGTATGGAGGTGCTGTGGAAGCTCTTTTGGGTTGCCTATGCTCAATATGTTTATTAAAAATACCCAAAAGGTTGTGGTGCTTCTGGAAACATGGGATTTTCTGGTCATAGTGATTTGTTTATTCCCAGATAGAGGTTTTTGTGAATGTTTGTTAGTTCTGTGCTTCTTTACATAAAGAACACTATAAACAATCTAATCCTAAGGATATATATCAGGATGTAGCCCAAAGCTTATTTATTCCAGTATCATGTCTTCAGCAGGGGACAAGTGGAGTAACATAGTGGGCCAGCATAATATGCTACTTGCCCAAAATACTTTCTCAGCTTCCAGTTTTATGTTCAGGTATTTCCTCAAGGGTGGAGTCCTTGTAACAGGTAGCCCTCAGTGGGTTTAATTTGTTCAGTAGCTGAATTGAATGTGTGTGTATTGGTAGCTCCTGGCAGCATTAGGTTCTGGGGGTTAACTGTGTGTTAGATGGAGCACCACTGCCTTTTGTTTGTTGGGCCCTGTCAGAAAGAAATGCCATTTATTGCTGGCTAACTCCTGTATGGGGACTGAATGAGCAAAGCAGCCCTCATTTACCTTCGCTCTGTGCTCCTTTCAGTCTTCTGGGCTTTGCAGGCACAGCCCTCCAGAAACACAGGGAATTTCCTGTAAATTACGTGGGATTGGACTAAATGCATGTCTAAAGTTGTATGTTAAAAGAATTAGAACTTCAATTTGCTCATCAGTTTTTCTGGCCAGCAGTGCAAAGTGCAGAAATCAGGGGAGTGCGTTGCATAGGTGTTTGCATAAGGCAGCGTGTGAGCGGAGCGGGAGCGCTGCCCGTGTGCTTGTGCAGAATCGCCGTTTGCCTCATTGTTGCCACTTCTCTTAATTTGAATTTGATAATGCACAAATCCTGCTTGTAAGAAGGCCAACGCTCCTGTCATGTTCTCTCCTCTCGTAGCTGCGACAATTAGTGAATATGTGCATCAACCCGGATCCGGAGAAGCGCCCAGACATCACCTACGTGTACGATGTGGCGAAGCGCATGCACGCACACACCGCCAGCAGCTGAGCTGCCTGCGAGCCCCACACGGAGCAGCCAGAACCAAGGGCTTGCAATAAATCATCCCACCTCCCCGTGTGTCTTACACTAATGTAATTATTTGAAGCTTACTGTTGTGCTTAGAATTGTAAATCGATTTATATACAAGCTTTGTTGTTTTCTGTTCATTTCTGGGTTTTGTATTTTTTACTAACTTGTGGTCGTACAACAGGTTTAAATATGTAAAGCGTAATTTTAAGATGCTGTGAACCGCTGTTTCCATGTTAGTGGGTTCAAGTATACTTTCTGTAATAACAAAATTGTGTTCGGTTGGGCCTCTTCTAAAACACAGTTGCACTTTTGCACATGATACAGATATTAGGCTTATTATCGAGAAGCAAAATGTCTGAATCTCTCACCTTTTTAGTAATTTATGGAAAGTATGAATCAGCACAGTTAACTTTATTTTAATCTTTGTTTCAAGAGGAACATAATTATTACAGGAGCTTATTGTATTTTATATTGAATTGTAGTTTGCAGTTGCTGCTGTAAGAGTAGACAAGGAATAGAATTAGTTCTCTGCTTGCCAAATGCAATGGAAAAATAATTTCAGGAAAAATTGTCATGCTGAAATTTTTGTAATATCCCCTTTTGTTTTGTTAGTCTCTCTTAATACACGAAACATTTGTTGTAGATTTTCTGGGAAAATTTAAGGTGTTGATTCAGCAATCAGGTCGTTTTCAATAGACTTGTGCAGCACTGCCCTGGGGCAATGGGAGTCTGCATAGTTCAGTCTTAAAAACATGCAGATGCTTCTTGTAGCCAATAGGGTTCTTTTGTGGCTGTCCTTTGAGCAGGTCTGATTAAAAGATGTGATCTTTAAGTTACAACTTCCCAGCTGTTTGTGTATATGTCACTGTTTGTAGATTTTTGTGTTAAAATAATTTGAGTGACCTTACAGTATATTTAAATTTTAAATTTTTTTTCTAAATACTGAAATGTTTTGACAAAGATATAATAGTCTAGTATAACACAAAATGTATTCTACATAAATATATGATCTTTGTATACTATATCCTGACACTTAGTTTTATATTTAGCAGAAGTAGATTATAGCTTTTATGTTTAAGAGAAAGTTGCCACGCCTTAATTTGGAAAATAATTATATATGCAAACTATCTTACAGATACTTTATTAGTTTAAAAGGAAATGCTGAATATATTTTTTAGACCTTAGTGCCTTTTGGGGTATGCTTATATAATATTTTCATTGTTAAGGAAGGAATGTGTCTTGTTTTTAAATGTGGTAAAAATGGAGAGTGAAATGAAATTCCTTGAGTTTCAAGACTGAATTTTTTTTTACAGGACTGTCAAAAGGTAATTGTTATCAGTGATAGCAGCTAGGGAGCTGTTAGTGTCAGTTTTTTTCTTTATGTGGGTAAAAAGTTAGTTCAGATAAAAGCAGAAGTATGTACATACATATGTAGGTTCTAGATGCGGTCACATCCCTGCATTCTCAGATTTTTTTTGTTTCCTAGTTTGTTTCTCTATGCAGCTGTAATTTTTATTTGATATAATGCTCAAAGAATAAAAAAACATTTGTGGAGTTTGTATTCAAGGGAGGGGTCAGGGTTATTTTCGGTTTTGTATTTTTTAAAACTACAAATACTATGAAAATTGTGTTTGTAAAAAAAAAAAAAACAGGGGCGTTTTTAGATGGTATGTGCCAGATCATCAGCTTATCTTAATACATATTTTTTAAATTTTTGGTTCCAGGTTTTTCAGGATGAATTGTATGAAACTGTAGTTTTATTTCTCACTTCTGTGTGCTCTTAACCTTATAGAACTTCAGTGGAACAGTTTGTTGGAAAGAAGTATTTGAGAAATTTTGGTTTGTGTTTAGCAACCTTTAGAATTGTTTTCATTTATTAAATGGTTATATAATTTAAAACATGATGATTATATTCTGTAACAATGTTTCACATGTCATAGAACAAAATGCTTTATATTGAAAAAGGCAGCACAATATTTGCTTGACTCACACAATTAGTTCTTAATATGCACAAGTAGTCAATTTTTTTTTTTCTGAAATGTGCTAGAACATTTAAAAGTCACCGAAAAGCCCCCAAATGCAATGGAGGTTATTTGTGTCTAATATTATGCATAAAGTATTGAACTGTTCCTGCCAGAAACTGCTGATAGACATCCCTCCCCTGGAAGGATATGTTGAGTAAAAGAATCATGAGTTAAGAGTTAGCAAATGTGCATACTTAAGCATTTACATTTTTTTAGCAATGTGGAGTTTTTTTAGTATTTATGATTAAATATTGTGCTGAGGAAAAGAAATAGTTGTTCCTGACTTAAAATATGTGAAATGAATGGTGCACCTGACTTTGGTACCAAACTCTGTAATTAAAAAGCCAATGTGAGTTAATAGAACTGCTTATATAAGTGAGGATTGTAGAATCTCTCCCTAAAGTAAAATACCTGGTAACATGAAAATTATAAGTCTTGTTATAACACTCCAATATATGCTATGTGCTTATAAAATATTTTCTTTACTAAGCCACCATCCTATCTTTCATATGTTGATGATAACATTTGGCATTATTTATTTTAAGCTATGGCATTATGTGTTTATTTTCTTTAAAGAAAAAATGTTACATTTCTACCCAAAATGTCTGACCAGCTCCTCCTTTTATTTCAATAATGCTCCAGTATTAACTTGTGTCAGGAGTGAACTTTTTGTGCTTTGAATGACATTGCATAAATCCCTTTGTCTCAAAAGCTCACCTGCTGTGCCGTAATCCAATAGAAATAAAACATACAGATATTAAATGTAGTGTAAAAATTATAGTGTTTCTATGATATTTTTTCAAACTTTTCTTTTTTAGAGATATATATGTATGTTACAGTTGATGCTGCCTATCATGTGGACAACTTACTGCTTCCAGTAGCTGATTCTAGGTGAGATTTCTTGACTGTAAGATAGTGTATAAAAGATAGTACACTAAAAAAAAATCATTTTTGTATTATTTGTTAAAAGATTATCTAAAAATACTACATCCAATATATTGTGTGTTTTAAATTGAAATTTCAAACTAAAATTTTAAGCTAAATTTAAAATAATTTTCAATACTAAAATATGCGATAAAGCAACAAAATAACAAAGATTTCCCGTTATGGCCTCAGCCCTGTCCTGTGAGCTCTTGTTTATATTTCAGCTGTTTTTTATGTAGTTTCAGTAATTTTGAGTGAACCACATCTACACACATGAATAAACAGTAATCAGTAGGGTAGGTAGAAATGATGTGCCAGCTCACTTCTTGTATTCTCTGTGTGTCACTGGTTTGGTAGCAGGGAATAATTTGGGTTTTTTCCCCTGTTTTATTGCACTCCCAATGATCCAGCTCCCAATGGTATGAGCAGGCAATAGAAGTGTGTTGTCGTTTTGTAATGAGCAGAAACTTTAAAAACATGCCAGTATAGCAGAAGATGAAATGCAGTATTAGAAGTGTCTGAGAAGGCTGGTGTTTTATTCATGCTCATGATTAAGAAAGCTGTAGAGTGAAATTCTTGACAGAGGCTTGGAAATGGAGAAGAACTTTTATGCCAGTGGTTCTCAGATAACTCTGAATGGGACCCAGAATCGCAGTGATGTTTGTCTGCAGCAATCTGTCTGCTTAATCTCTTATTTTTGCTGTTACACAGTGTGGTGAGACTCTTAGCAGCTGAGTTGGAGTGTTGGTGAATGCTGCATTGGCTGTGTGAGCTGTAGGAGCAGGAGGTGATGTGAGGGAGAGCCCGTGAAAGCCTTCAGGTCTTGTTTGGGAAGACATAAAGGTGCTGGATGGCAGAGGTCAAATCACTGGTTTTTCTTAATTTTTAATAGTCTTTATCTACTTCAACAGTCAAAATTTTCCCCAACCCAGCCATCTCTCCAAATTACCCAGCTAGTGGCAGTGTTGGCAGTGGCCTTCTGAATTTCTGATCTCTGGTTTGATCTGGGTGAGTAAATCTTTCTGGCAAGGAGGGAAATAGAGGTGTGGACCCTGCTTGGTGGGGTGCTACTTACGTTTCTGAATGTTACTCAAATATAGATGTTTAGAGTTGTTTTTTAAACTTTATTCCCTTCTCTGATGCTTTTTTAAAAGTATTTTCCATTCATATTAACCACTAAAGTTCTGTAACCCCTGGCTTCTGCTTTATTAATCCTATTGTGAGCCTTACTCTCTTCCTGGTTTGAAGTCCTCTGTCTAGTTTTCCTAGTGGTCATTAGTTTGCATCTTTCTTTGTGTGTTTGCTAAACTCAGCCCATTTCAGTGTTTTCAAATTTCATCCCCATGGGCAAGGCCAGTTCCTTTCCCCAATCAGTACTTTAATCCTTTGTTCTTCATTCTGTTTTTCCAGCCCAATGCCTGTGATTTCTAATTTTAGATAGATTTTCTTACTGCCTCAATCATTCCCATGACCTTGTCTTTGCTAAATACTGTTCACTTTATTATCTCTCATTTCTAAATTCCCTTTCTCTGATCACTACCTGCTCTCTTTCAGCTTATCTGTCTTTCTCTCTCCTCTACCCTGTCACTCACTCCTTTTGGGATCTCCAGTCTATTAACCTTTTTGACTCCTTCGTCTTCACTGCTGCCTCCTTCCTTCATTGGCCTCACTTCTTTTTACTCACTGGTCTTTATTTTTATCTCTATCTGCTTCTCTGTACATGGTTTCTTTGGCTGCTTCTCACACTGCCCTGTCTCCATTCCTCCCTCTAGATGTATTCTCTTGTAATTTCTTAATTTCCATTCCGGCCTTTCTGAATATCTGAAGAGTGTGTCAGCACAACACAGCTTTGGACTCATCTTTGCCTTACCTGCTTCAGTGCCCTTCCCAAATGGACTTTTAAACCACTTTTATCTCACCTTTGTGTTCTTGTTGAGCTTGTTTGCAGAGCTGCTGTTCATATTCATTCTCCATTCATTCTTTATACAAAATCTTCAATCCTGATTTTGTTGCATGACAAGATCCTTTTCATAGTTGTTTTTATTCTCAGGATCTGTTTCTGAGCTGAGCTTCTCTGCTTCTTAACTTTGCAAGTTTGCCCCTTTTATTTCTGTATCTTTTATGCCTCTCATTCCTTTCATTGAATTACTTCCTTCAGTAGCAACTAAGTTTCTCTTTTCATCTATCTTTAAGGGGGTCGCACCATCATCATAACTGTTTCTGGTTTTTAATACTTTGTCATTTCTCCCTGTCATCTGATTTCATGTACCTAAACACCCTCTCTCCAGTTTGTTTTTGGGTTTTTTAATGTTGCACTTCATTTGAATGCCCCAAAAATCCAGTGCTTCTCCCCCCTAGTCTGGTTCTCCCATGGTTCTATCTCTGGATTATTCCTTTAGGATCCAGCCAGCCTCAGACCTGTTCAGATTCAAAGATCTAATTTTTATTTCTGACTCCCTCTAGACTATTTTCTAACATCCCTGGCAATTTTACTTGCCTGTTTTCCAAGGCCACAACCTTTCTATCTCTGGCACTTCTCCCATGCCTGCGTATCAAATGTCTCAGAGTTAGATGTATCAGAATCCAGCCCTCTTCACTATATCTTCTTTCTTATCTTTTATCTTCACTGATTTAACCTCTGTGTCATTTTGGCTTCTTTTCTCCCTTCAAAGCATCAAAATTGACAGGACTAAACTGTCACTGGTCTTTCACTGTTTTGTGTGCTGAAGAAGGAACTCCACCAAATTACTACTTGTTTTGTGTTTTAAACAGATCTCAATCCCACAAATCTGATCTTATTTCAGTACTGTAGAGTTGGAACAGATTGAGAAATGAAAATCTCTGTAAAACTGAGAAGTTTGGTGTTTTGCAACTAGGGATTATAGAGCTGAATGTCACATTTGGGGTGGGTATACACACATTTGTTGACTTTTTATTTACACCTGGGTAATTATTTTGCTTTAGAGGATCAGGTATTTGCTGGCACAAAAAAAAATTTCTAGTACTTTTCAGGTTTTATATTTATTCCTTGCCTGTATCACATTGTGCAGTTAGTTCTTCTACAGCTACCTTAGTGATGGGTGTCGGCCTTACTTCTTTTGTCTAACTGCAATTTTCTGTCATATGGAATTAAAAATAGGAAGTTACTGAGTCCTTCCTGATAATTTCACTTGTTTTTCATTTAAACCCTAGCAATAGATAGAGGTCTCAGCCAGGAAGAGAAATGGTCCCCAGGACAAAACGTGTTCTAGGATTCCTCACTTCATTTCCACCTCCCAGTCCCTGTTTTTATGGCTTCCCTGGGACACTTGCAGGGAATATGGCACTGCCAGTGTATCAAGGGCCAATAGGAACTTTCTCACTGTGGACAGGAGATCTCCCAGTTGAAGATGACTAGGAATATATTTGGTATTGTTATATGGCTGGTAATTGCAAATGTGTAAAGAGCAATTGAAAAAATCTGTAATTGCTGTTACAAAAAGAATTTTAAATTATGCAAAGGCCTTTTAATGTGGTGTTGGTCTTCAGTAGACTTAATTTGCTGCTTGTTCCTTTGATTTCAGTCATGCTGGACTGTTGTGAAGATGATTCATTAAAGATGAGTGTTGTTTTTTGTTGGGAGTGGGAAAATCAGGAGGCATTCACTGATTTTTTTGTATTTGGCTGCCGATTGTGCTTGAATAAAATTTTATGATAATTCAGATTGGAATCGACATTGAGAGAAGTCTCTAGTCCAGCTTCCTGCTGAGAGCTGAGTCAGTGCTGAATTCAGAGCAAGGCTTCAGACTTCAGCAAGATCCAGAAACCCTCAAGGGGTGAGCAGCTTCTGTGGGCAGCCTGCTCCAGTGCCTTCCTGTAAACTTTGTTTGCCTCGTGTGTTGTGGCCATTCTTTGTTCTTCTGCCACTCCTCAAATATTCTTTGTATTGCAAAAAGGTAAGTCAGGTACTGGGACAAAGAGAGAACTTAGGATGTTTTATTTTCTGAAAATTTGTTATTGCTAACAAGTATGTTCACATAGTACTTCTGCTCCTGTATGATGTGTACACCATATTCATTTGCAACTTGAGTGTAAAATAAAACTTTTGGCAGTAAAACTTGGTACAAATGTTCCTTGGTGTTTATGGCCTGGATTTTCTCAGTTTTTACCTTTCAAATCTGTTAAATGTTTCCTGGCAGATCACAGTTGTGCCCACCATGGTGAAGCAGGGAAGTTGGGATCCTGAAGATAACTCTGTTTTCTGGAGCCTGCTCTGGGGGAGGGAGCTTAGCACTGGGATGGGATGGGAAGAGGATGAAGCCAGCAGGTGTCAGATGACTGCTGGTTATGGGAACCTTACTTTAAACTCAAGTGTTGGTGGAAACTTACTTGGAGAGATTTATCAAAATTGAAATTTGAGGAGGAAAATGACTGGAGCAGGGTCAGATTTCAGAGCAGTAGGGTTTTTTTTTGGTAAATTTTGCCTTGTATTAAATGAGAACTTGAAACTTCTGACAACAAATTTCTTGGGAGCAAATATAAAATATGACAAATAGATTCAGTTTCAAATCTGTCAAGTTCCTTGAGGAAAAAATTTCTGTAAATTAGGAATAATTTATTGATGTTATAAAATATCATTTAACAGTTACCAGTCTGGCAGGAGGGTGGTGGTGGCTGTGTGTAATTATTTTTTGAACACTTTCTAAGAAAGTGTTCAAAGGTTAAAAAAAATAAAAGGAGTGGCAGATGATTTAGAGCTTTTACTCTTGTGGGAGAATATTTGAGAAGGTAATTACCAAATCTGATGTGCATTTTTAACTTTTTAATTGCTTTTAAATTCAGTATGTGTTTTTATAAATGATAATTTTTCTTCCT